TTTCTTTTCACAAAGATGGCCTCCTTTACTCCTCTCTCAAACCATCGTTCCTCTCTGTCCAGGATGTGAACATCTTCATCCCTGAAAGAGTGACCGCTGGCCTGGAGATGAGTGTAGACCTCAGAGTCCTGGCCTGATGATGTTGATCTTCTGTGCTGGTCCATCCTTTTGGCCAGTGGCTGTTTAGTTTCCCCGATGTAAGACTGATCACCCTCCTGACACTGAACAGCATACACAACATTACTCTGTTTGTGCCGGGGGACTGGATCTTTGGGATGAACCAGTCTTTAATGTGTTTTGGGGTTTAAAAGCCACTGGGACGTTATGTTTAGAAAATAAACGTCTCAGTTTCTCTGATACTCCCTCAACATATGGAATGACCACTGGTCTGGGTCTGGGTTCCTCCTTTTCACCTGTTGGCTGACTGGAGTCCTGTTTGGGTTTCTTCTCTGCTTTCAGGAAGGCCCAGTTAGGATATCCACATTGCTCTAGAGCCTGTCTTGTGTGGGATTTCTCCTTCTGCCTGGCTCCTGAGTTAGTGGGGACGCTGTCTGCTCTGTGATACAGAGTCCTGATGACTCCTAACTTGTGCAGCACAAGGGCTTCAGGGTATCCCCGTGATAAACGAGGGACTACTGTACTGTGATAAATGCTATTCAATCTATCACAATACAGTAACGCAGTACCTGAATTCCACTTTATAAGGCAACAAAACAAGAAGGTTATCAAGGTGGGTGAATACATTCTGCAACTTATTAGAAGTATTAACTTTTAACCAAGATATGAAGCATACAAATACAATGACAGACTTTTCCTTCTTGGTGAAAAAGCTTCATTTTTCATCAGCCAAGTTTTCAATTTATAAAAGTAAAAAACTGCCTGCACTCACCAAAACACTAGAGGCCCCCATGGCCAGAGGTCCATAAGCAATGTAGGAGTGTCCAGTGATCCAGCCAATGTCTGCTGTGCACCAGTAGATGTCATTAGGCTGGTAATCGAACACCAGTTTAAAGGTAATGGCAGTGTAGAGCATGTAGCCACCAACTGTGTGAAGAACTCCCTGCAGACAGGAAGCAAACAAGACAAGCACTGAGTGGAGTAACACGTTTAACCATACATGTGATTTTGGAAGGGAAAAATAGCTTAAAGAAAAATGTATTATACAGTGACATATAAATACAAACTTTTATTCTGGAATGGAACTATGACGTAACATCTGACAGTAAGTTTCAAATTATTTTTTATGGCAAAGTAAAATCAGAACATTTCTTTTAAAATTCAAGAATATATTTGTCCCAGTGACCACTTTTACCATCTTTTGGACGACTGTACGTACATATTCGCGTTGTACCTCGGTGCAATTCCAATAAAGTTTATTCTGATTCTGACTTTTAGACCGGACACCAACATCCATCCAAAAGTTCTGGCTCTGGATATTGCTAAATACAAAAAGTAAACACTGTTGATATACATTAAAGATATCTTCTCTTGGACCACCTTCATAGGTGGTTTGGTGCACTTTTTCAAATGAGTTTGGTAGTTTGAACACAACATGTCCTGAGATATGCTATAGCTACTGTACTTACTGAACTGACGTGATGCTGTCAGGGCATGAGGGGGTCAGTTCAGTAGGTGGCCCTACAACGTGACCTGCGTCGTGTCAACAAGCTCCTTCAGCCAGAGACTGCTACAGCCAAAATGCTCCACAGAGACACACGGGAAGTCATTGTCCCCAGTGATCAGACTGTTTGATGCCTTCTCAAGATTTCAGACACAGAATCAATAACCCTAGTACAAGTCCTGATCTTCTTCGTTTCTTTTTAACTTGGTATTCTGTCTGATTTGTCTATTTTTGTAGTTTCACATTTTTTACTTGTCTTATTAGTTTATGTCATCTGGACTTCGTTTTTTTTTTGTTAAAAAGAAACGTTTCGCCCCTCATCCAAGAGGCTTCGTCTGGATGAGGGGCGAAACGTTTCTTTTTAACAAAAAAAAACAAAGTCCAGATGACATGATTCAACCTTTTTTGTTGTTATATACCTGGATGACTGAGAAAACAAACTTTGTGTTTTTGAAACCATTAGTGAAAAGGCCAGACTTCAGGGGTATCTGAGGCAGGCTTGAAACACAAGAGTCAGGGTGGCTTCTGGGTAATACCAGATGGCTAGGCCTCAGACTGACGAAGCCTCTTGGATGAGGGGCGAAACGTTTCTTTTTAACAAAAAAAAAAAACGAAGTCCAGATGACATGATTCAACCTTTTTTGTTGTTATATACCTGGATGACTGAGAAAACAAACTTTGTGTCTTATTAGTTTATATTTCATTCTTGATGATATTCTTGTTCTGTGTATATTTTTTGTTTTAAGGCAGCAACACACTTTTTAAAAAGTTGGGGCATGTCCCTGTCTCCACTGTGAAGCAGCCCTTCTTTTAACAACAGTCTGGAAACATCAAGGAACTGAGGAGAGCAGCTGCAAGTTTTGGAGGGGAATGTTGTCCATTGTTATATATACATACTGGTATAGATTTGTTTTCCTTCAAATGTTAAATCATCTGACCACAGATGTTTTTCATTTTGCTTCAGTCCATTTTAAATGAGCTTTAACCCAGAGAAGACCATGATGTTTCTGGATAGTGCTCACATGACTTGTTTTTCACATGATAAAGGGTTTAACCTGCACTTGTGGATGGCATGGCTATCTACTTACAGTAAATTATTTGTGGAAGTGTTGCACGCAGTGATCACCACACAACACCAGACCTGTTTTAATGCAGTGTCGCCTGAGATCACAGATATCCTAAACGAACTTGTGGCCCTATCCTTTGCACACGATAATGTTTTGATGATTTTTGATCCTCAATATTTTCCATTCTGCGTTTTTTTTCTCCTTAAATCCTGCAAATATATTTTTCCTTTCTTCATCTTTATCCTAATATTTTTTGATATTGGTAATCCTGGTTTTAATTTTATGTTAAAGTTGTTTTTCTTTTTAAAAAGAACCACTCTCCTGATATTCAATATAATGAACTTTAAATGAAGATAAATTCAAAATTGTCCCAATATTTCACTGAGGAACATTATTCTGAAATAGTTTTACTACATTTTTACATTTAGTCTTTTGCAGACTGACAGACAAGACCCAGGACACGCTGGAGAGCCTATGTCTCTCGGTTGGCATGACAACGCCTTGGAGTCCTCCCAGAAGAGCTGGAGGAGGTGGCTGTGGAAAGAGATGTCTGGACCTCCCTGCTCAGGCTGCTGCCCCGCGACCCGACTTCGGAACAAGCAGAAGATAACGGATGGATGGATGGACAGACTGGTGAACCTCTGGTGAACCATCTTTACTTCTGACAGATTCAGCCTCTCTCAATAGCTCTTTATACCCAGTCCTCTTAACTGTCCTATTGCTAATTAACCAAATTTGTTGCAAAATGCTCCTCCATCTTACTTTCAAGGCTTTTTGTTACATCCACAACAAATGTTTTGAGATGTGTTGCTGCCAACAAATTCAAAATTACCTTCTTTTTTCCCTAGAATGTCGTACAAATTATTTGATATGATTACCATGTTCAATTTAAATTAAATATTATTTTATAACATTTTCATTGAACATTTTTAAATCATTACAGTCTATTTTACACAATGCCCCAACCTTTCCAAAATTTGGGGTTTACAAGTAAAATACTGTTCGTGATCAATCCAGGGAAACCTACGTAAAATGTGTCACTGTCAGAAACGTTCAATCATGCTCATGTCTGCTTCGTGCACATGTATGCACCCTGTTGTGCACATGTATGCACCCTGTTGTGCACATGTATGCACCCTGTTGTGCACATGTATGCACCCTGTTGTGCACATGTATGCATCCTGTTGTGCACATGTATGCACCCTGTTGTGCACATGTATGCATCCTGTTGTGCACATGTATGCATCCTGTTGTGCACATGTATGCACCCTGTTGTGCACATGTATGCATCCTGTTGTGCACATGTATGCACCCTGTTGTGCACATGTATGCACCCTGTTGTGCACATGTATGCACCCTGTTGTGCACATGTATGCACCCTGTTGTGCACATGTATGCATCCTGTTGTGCACATGTATGCACCCTGTTGTGCTCCTTTTGGTAGGCCAGGTTTAACTTGACCTGTCAACAGGACTTTGTTTCTAAAAAATTTTCCCACTTGCTGCTTTGTAAACTCCAGGGGATTTTTTCTGTGAGGCTGCAGACGAGCATGTATGTTGGTGCGCTTGACAGCAGAAACAATTTCGATATCAGGTAAAACTTTGACTGCATTTGTAGGACATTTCTTCTGTTTAGGTGCACTTTTAGATGCTTCACAAAAGGAGCTTGTGGTTGTTGAGCATCTTAAAATGATTACTCATACTGATGTCTGTAAGTAGGTGAGTGTGCTTTTTTACTTTTGGTTTGCCAGTTGAGCCACTGGTGTAGAGGATGAAAAGAGGATCTTCAGAATCGCACCACTCAGGTTCACAATCATCTGAGACTCCATTTATCAGTGTGTGCCAACACAAGTCCACATCTGGGTTCCACGGGATCTGGTAAGTAACAGCACACACACATGCACACAAACATACAAACACACACAGTCAGATTAGACAAATGATGTAAATGTCTGTAAAGACAAATGTGCATAGGAACAAAAGAACAAGTGACATTCCAGTGCCCATAGATATGAACAAGATACGTATCAATTAGTCAAAACTCATTCAGAACATAATGTTCTATGTTCTAGAACAGTGATTCTCCACCCGAGGGTCACTGGCATTTGTCAGGGAAAAAAGATGTTAAAGCCCTAATAATAGACAACACACAATTTTTGAGGTTTCTGATGTGAATTTTTAGGCGCGAGCAGCGAAACGCTGTGAAGGCCTATTGTAATCGCTCTGTTCAGGCCCAAGCTGCAATTTTTTCTGTCAAATGAACTGGTGTTTTGGGCTTAACATATCCCAAAAGTCACCAAATTTGGTGGACGCATCAGGACTGGTGAAAAATTATGTATTTTAAGGACGTGGCAAAAATCGAAACAGAAACGGATCAAGAGCGCCACCTAGAAATTTTCAAAATATCCTCTGCATTAAACTTAGTTTGTCGTAGAAACATGACATTTGGTACGCTTGTCCAAGTCCCCAAGATGCACAGAAAACCCTCTGGCACCAACGTTGTATGATAAACAGGAAGGCGGCCATTTTGGAATTCCCAATTCACACCTCTTTGGCGGTTTACAGCCTCCACATTTGAACAAACTCCTCCTAGGGAATTCGCTCAATCGGTTTCAAACTTGGCCATTTTGGTCAAAAGGCATGGGGGACGCAAAGTTATCTAAACGGTTCATTTTGGAGCATGCTGAAGGGGCGGGGCCAGACCTCAAAGTTGGACATCTCGCGGTGAAAAACGAAACACTAATAGCTCCTACATGAAAACTGTCTGACACATCAAACCCTCAGTGATTGATCCACATCCGGTCCCCTGCAAGACTGAATGGTCAAATCATGACATCACTTAAGCCACACCCCCTGACAACAGGAAGTGTAAAGTTTTACCTTGAACGGTCCCTATCTGACCCGTTACCTGATCAGCATGATAGTGTGTCCAGTGACCGAAGACATGTTGGTGTAACTTGCTTTCCAACACTGACAGTTTTGGGTGGAGCATGTGGGCGGTGCGGCATGGCAAAGACAGATGTAACGCCGTCACCATACATTTGGATTTAAATTCCAGTTTTGAACCGAGGTGCACCATAATCAGTCTGATCGATCATTATCCACCCCTTGAACAGGAAGCCATGATTAGTGGCCAATAGCCTCCACAGCGCCCCCTAGAATATTTTAAAACTTCATCCCCAAGCCATTTTTTGACTGATAATTCTGAAACGCGGTGAACATGTGTATCTTCTCAGGACCTATGAAAAAGTCTCTTGGAGCCCTGGTCCAAACTCAACAGGAAGTCAGACATTTTGGGTCAAAGGGTCATTTTTGGGCATTTCTAATGGCAAATTTTAATGAACTCCTCCTAGGGATTTTGAGTGATTGCCTTCAAACTTGGTTAATATGCCCTTAAGACATTGGGGAGTAAAAGTTATCAAAAGCTTTCGGTTTCGTTTATGTTAAAGGGGCGTGGCCACGCCTCAAAGTTGCGTTTCACGCCATAAATTTACAAATGCTATAACTTTCACAATGAAAGACCGAAATGCAACAAACTTGGCATGACTCATCCCTGGTGGATGTCCGACGATCCACTGTGGTCATATTTGAACGTCATCAAAGCCCCGCCCCCTCAGAACAGTAAGTCTCTTTTTTAACTTGGAATGCTCCCTCTTTGACATCATTGACCTAATCAGGATGATCCTGTCTTAGAAGACAGATAATATTTTCTGACTTGATTTAAAGCGCAAACTATTTTGGTTGGAGGATGTGAGCGTGGCAGCATGGCGAATTAAGAAGTGACGCAGTTGCAATACGTTTGGCTCTAAATTGCTCAGATTTAAACCGAGGTGCACCAAAATAACTATGATCGATCATTATCCACCCCTTGAACAGATATCAATGATAAGTGGCCAATATCTTCTATGGCGCCACCTATATTATTCCTAGAGTTATAGCTCAGTGATACAACATCTGATCTGTACCAGATTTATTGTGCGTCATCAGTGAGCACTTTTAGACACATTGATGTTGTGGTTTCACATATGACTCTAATGCACCCCCTAGATTATTCCAACAGTTATATCTCAATGATACATCATCCTGTCTGAACCAGATTTTTGGTGCGTCATCTGTGAGCATTTCTAGACACATTGGTTTTGTTTTTTATAACATTGGACTCGAGTGCGCCCCCTAGATTATTCTAAGTTATATCTCAGTGATATATCATCTGATCTGGACCAGATTTTTGGTGCGTCATTAGTGAACACTTCTAGACACATTGGTATTGTTGTTTAACTTTGGACTCCAGTGCGCCCCCTAGATTATTCCAACAGTTATATCTCAGTGATACATCATCCGATCGGAACCAGATTTTTTATGCATAATCAGTGAAAACGTCTAGACACATTGATATTGTGGTTTAACATATGAATCAAGTGCACCCCTTAGATTATTTAATCAGTTATATCTCAGTGATATATCATCTGATCTGGATCAGATTTTTGGTGCGTCATTAGTGAACACTTCTGGACACATTGGTATTGTTTTTTAAATTTTGACTCCAGTGCACCCCTTAGATTATTCCAACAGTTATATCTCAGTGATACATCATCTGATCTAGACCATATTTCTTATGCTTCATCAGTGCACACTTGTAGACACACTGGTATTGTTGATTCATGACTTGACTTAAGCCCGGCCCACTCAGAGATGAAACTGATGTTTATAGGATGACTCTTCCAGCTTGGCACTGTATAAGATTTAAGACTGAAACAGCGTTTGCTGACTGTTGATTACCACATATGACATGTTGAAAAGCCTAAAGAAAGTCCTTTACTGTTGCGAGAAAACAGGAAGTGACAAAAACTCTCGTCTGGAAGGTCGGATTTTAACCAAACTTGTAAGGCTTGCAGCCAGACTCATACTGATATGGGTGGAAGGCGCATGCAAAGTTTAGGTATATGCGCACCCTGGTGGATGTGTGCGGGAATGGCAGGAGAGCGTTCGTGACAGCGACTGGGAGGCGTTGCTGGAGCACCCGCGGTTGCAGGTGATGTCGAAGGTTCGGCAAATGCGCACCCAAGTGAACAGGTGCGTGACAAGCGCAAGAGCATTCGCGAAGGCGACTGGGCGGACTCGCTGGAGTTCCCACGGTCGCCTTAAGGATGGAACGGCGCTTTGCTGCGAGGGCCTTCAATGCTGCTTGCAGCTTTAATTATACTTCTGACACTTTCTACATTGCTGAACTGTTTGGCAACTCATGTAACTAAAACTCCTCAGTGTTTTCACTAAAAACTATGTCAGAAAAAAGAAAATATTTCTCACCTTTGTTTACAACTATTGGGTTATTAGTTACAAAAGCTCTCCCAAGTTCCTAATATTTTGGCACACCTCATTTGCATCTGATGTTGGCTCCAACATTTGCTTTAACGCTCTCCACTCGAGTTCCTCCCTCAAAATGACTCACCTTCAGACAACGCTTATTCTTACAGGTTTGAGTCTTCTTTGTATTCAGAACAATCAACTTTACCTTTTTGCTTTTGACCTGGCGTTTCAAATTTCTCCAGTTCGCTGGTTATTTTGGTTTATCATTAAAACTGTTTTTTTTGTGTGGCAGACTGGGATATTACTTTCTACCATCTGGGGTTTAACATCTTTTGATTCAGTGAAGCTGGGAAGTTTAAAATGTTCTTCAATTTGGGTCACAATAGGTCTTTAAAGGGTGCTGGTAGGTCCTGAAACCAGAATAGTTGAGAACCACTACTCTAAAACACACAACACAGAAATTAGTTTGTCTTAAACATTAGCAACATGCAGGTGAAAACTAGAGTCAACTAGAGTCAACTACAGTCAGCAACGAAAGTTAAAAAAGTCGTTAAAAGGTTTTAAAGCTCAATCATCCAAGCAAATAAATAACAAAAAAATGTTAATAGTGTCATCTGCACAGTCGTAGTTTAGCAGTTATATTAAAGCAGGGCAATCGTGTAGATGCCAGTGTATCTGTTTGTTAGTAAAGTATCTCCTGAACCACTGGACAAATGTTACTGAAACTCTAAGAAAGTAACTATTACGATTTACTGTACATCTACAGTCAGTTAACTTCTAGATTTGACCTGATTCAACATGTATTGACCATTACCTTAAACAAAAAAGGCCAATTTTATAAATATTGAGTAAAAAATTAGATATGATGGCAGCTGAGAGTTGTTCTCAACACAAACTCTAAGCATCAACAGAGCCCACAAGACCTTTGTGTACAACATTGTCGTGCAATGAAGTGGTAAATGGACTGTACTTATACAGCGCCTTTCTATCTTATCCAGATACTCAGAGCTCTTTACAACAATCTGTGCCTCATTGACCCATTC